GAAAATTACTATAAAAAAGAGTATTTGATGAAAAAAATATATTCTTACTAATGCATTTATTTTATTTTTTTACTATATTCTTCTAAACTTTTATCATTTTTTACTATTTTATACCCTTTTATTGTTTCTAAGTTTCATTTGAAAATTTATCCAATTCAAATTTATCCATTCATCAAATTTTCTGAATCTGAATATTTTGTAAGCTTCGTTTTAGATATAACGAATTCAGAGCCTTATGCTATAAATAATGCCTCGATGTCGATCATTTCGGCAACAATAGTTGTAGCCCTAATCTAAACTGTAAATCAGCTTTAGGAATCTTCATGTTGGGCTATCTGATAAAGTCATGACAACTTAACAGAAAAAAGTTTTCATTAAATTACAAGAGAAAATAATTTTTTCCACCCCGAAAATGAGCATAAAAACAGACAAGCAAGTTGAAAAACCTAGAAAGTGTAAAACACATACTAACACATGGGAAAAAATCATGTTCAAAATTTTATTAAGAGGGCTGAAATAGAATGAAAAAAGCTGCTAAGCACTAAGAAATTTTTTCAGATGCACCAAAATGTACTCTAAATAATTGGTAATTTGTAAAATTTTCAAAATGACTAAAGTAAAACAAATTATGTCATTAAAATTGGAGCAACAACAGAATTCTAAACATATTTTTGTCCTTTGTATGATTTCAAGAGCTTAATGAGTGTGAAGTACAAGACAAAGACTTCGTTTGTTTTCTTCCACCAATACTATAATGAACGGAGATGTGGTGCATTATCATTACCTGTTCCTTATTTTTTTAGCAGTGAACGAGCCAATATATTTTTAAAAAAATAAATTCTATCTTATGGAATGCAGTTTTATATTTATTTTAGTGATATTCATTATTCAGTTATGATTAAAATTCTTACTAATACAAATATTGCACAGGGTACAATTATATTAATTATATATTATAAAATTATATTAATTGTACCTTGGGTCATTATTTATATATATATATATATATATATATATATATATATATATATATATATTTTTTTTTTTTTTTTTTTTTTTTTTTTTTGTCAAAATCCAAAGATAAAATAATTTTAAAATTATAGTACAGTAAATTATAGTATCTTCAAAAATGAGACAAATAAAACCCAGTATGAACTGTTAAAAATCATTGTTTTTTTTAGAAATTGTAGGGTATTGAACATAACTTATCCATGGTACACGTATCTGACACCATATATACATTTATATATGTATTTGAGTATAAATATGTTATTTAAATATTTTAATTTGTCTACTTATGCTTATATTTTATTTTATAATTTAATTTCATAATTTTATAGTTTACTCATTTCATAATAATTATCTGGATTTAGACATTGTATATTTACCTAGTTCTGTCATAAATACTGTTACAAAAGTTGGACTTTGTTTACATCATTGGGTATTATTTAGATAACCTTTACCTATATCAGTTTATTTTCTTTGTATGTCAGGATAATAATCCCAATTTGGGTATCAGCCGTATGTTCATATACCGCACTATAAATAGATATAATGAAATCCTATCTGTATGTGACAGACCTCGACCGGACCTTCCTTCCCCTGTGAGAAGGGCAAATGCAATGAGAGCTGTGGCTGCTCGTATCAGAAGAAATCCCATTCGAAAACAACAAATCATGTCTCGGTAAATGGGAATCTCTGTCAGATCAATGTCTCGCATAATAAAAAGTGACCTTAGGATGGGTGCATTTCGAAGAATGACAGAACAAAGGCTAACCATTTCCTTAAAACAAATTAGAGTGGATGGATGCAAAGTGCTCCTTAGCCGCTACACCAATGGTTTTTATTGAAAGATTTTGTTTAAAGATGAGAAAATTTTTACAATCGAAGAAAATTTAATTACCAAAATGATCGTGTGTACCTAAACAGCTCTAAAGAACCCAAAGAAGTCATTGGAAGAGTGGAAAGAGGTCATCACCCTTCCTCAGTGATGGTTTGGAGGAGAGTTTGCTTTGATGGCACCAAAAAGCTCAATTTTTGTGAAAAAAGAGTTAAAACAGCCACTAAAAACTATCAGGGCAATATTTTGGAAGCTGTTGTCAAGCTTCTAAAAGATACTTCGTTAGCTGGAAGCCATTGGGTTTTCCAGCAAATTTTCGCTCCAGCTCACAAGGCCAGGTCAACTCAGCAGTGGCTTCAATAGAACATTCCAGAGTTCATCTCTGCCTCAGATTGGCTCTTAGGAAGTCCTGATCTCAACCCACTAGATTATTGGCTTTGGTCTGAACTGGAGAGGGTGGCATGCCGCAGAGCACACCCTAACTCGGATATCCTCAAACAATCTCTGATACGAGCAGTTGAGCGCTTTCCTCAAGAAGTGCTGCATGCTGCTATTGATGACTGGCCACGAAGATTAAATGCCGGTATCAAGGCAAAAGGAGGACATTTTGAGTAATTTCTTTTTTGTTTTACTCTCTATAGATATTTTATTTTCTAATAAAATTTTAGAAAAAATTAATTTTTCTGTTGAAATCTGGATATATTTCCTTGTAACAATATTTATGACAGGACTAGATATGTCGTTGTAAGAGAATCAAGCATCCCAGAATAAATTTCACAAATGTTTTTTTAGAAGGAAGAGAAATAATACAAATTATAAAACTAAAAAGAAAAAATCTAAAAGTGTTGAAAATGAAAGATCAGAAATACATACAGAGAAAGAAATGTTTCATAAGTCCCGTTCAGCAGTCCAATGTGGTTTTTCTGTGAGATCATAATAAAAAATCAGCCATAGTTGAAGGACAATCCCAAAATCAGCTATCATCTTTTGCTATTACCTAGAAAGAGAAATATACAAGTAACTTGGTCATGTACACATACTTTATATATATAAGTATGTGTACATGACCAAGTTTATTTATATAGAGGTCAATTACAGATAAATCAACAAGTTTTAATGTTTGTACTCAGATCAAAAACTGAATTGATTTATTTTAAATAGATATCCAAGAATGTAAAATATTCCATGGAAAACAACAGTTATTTATTATAAATAATATTAAATATTTATAAACAAGATAAATATTTCAAAAGAAGAATGATGTATAATTTGAGAATTTCTATCCATCTAGTCAAATCTATTCTCCCATCATTTGGAGAAACTAAAAAATAAATTTCATCTAGAGAAATATTATCTAAATGAAATCATACCAAATTTGTTAACTTACAAAAAGATGATTAAAACTGTAGGATAACAAAAATGACTGATCAGGCGTAGTTGCTGATTTATATTATTTTCTAATTAAAAAAAAAACGATCAGTCATAATGAAAGAATTATTGTTATAGTAGATCAAAGGCAATATTATTATTAGTTCTTTTTTTTTAGTTTGAATGAGAAGAATTGATATAAATATTCTAAAAATTTTTAGGTACTTACAAACTTTACAAACCATAAATACTTGAGGCATGGCCTCCTTGACAGAGCTTTCCAAGATTTCCGGTATTGGTATTCAGTGCAAAACCAATCTTATAAATATTCCTAGAGAAAAACAAAAACAAACTGAGTTATTAATATATAAATTCAAGATAAAAACCTGAAACTTAAATCTTTCGTAATCAGCTAATGATCGTCCAAAAAAAAACCCGACGTGCAACTGGTCTCAACTTTAGAAACTGCTGCACGGGTGTTATCATGCTAATAATTTTTTTTTTTTTTTTAACTATCTAATGAGTCTGATACTTCAAAAATATGTATAATGACATTAAAAAATATATTAAATTTATAAAAAAACATACAGAAACAACGCAAACGCAATATCTTTTCGCACACACAGAAAACATTTTAACTATTATTATTCTATGCTTTTAACTATGGAAGACTAATTCTTCATATATTTATTACATCATTTGATTTTTCTATTGATTTTAGTGTAATTTTTGCTTAACTTGGTTTTATTATTTTACAGTATCCATCATGTTGGAATACGTGTTCAGATAAATTAATGTTTTGATAGTATGATTGACCATAGATAGGCAATAATAAATAAAAATTTCACCTGCAAATAATAATAAATTATAAAAATGTGAATTTTGATTTTAGCCTAACTGAAAAGTTTACATATAAAATATATTTTGCAAAATTGATATGGAATTCAAATTTTTAATTTCCTTTAAGCACGAACTTTTTAAAAATTATTTTTGAAGATCCGTCGAATTCGGCAAATTTATTTAAAGTTGTAAATATCACGAAATAATGTTACTATTAAAAAAAAAAATTAAATTTAAAGTCACACAATTATTTTCCGTGCTTTAATTCCAATTGATAAATTTTTAATTGACTTTCTATGCTTTCACCTGTTTTCAAAAATACATAAACTTAACATTAATGTGAACAACTAAATTTTCCACTTTATTTGTGTTCATAAATTATAAACATTATGTATATAATTATATGACATTTTTGAAAGATAATTTGTTTTCTGTGATGTGTAGATATTCATGAGAAACAGTTATTACAAAACAGATTTAGAGATTTTGAGAAAATGTGACAAAATCACTTCTAAAAATGAATAAAAATATGAAACAGTTAATATTGAAAAGAGTTTAATTTTATAAAGATATTCTTAAATAATAAAAAAAAAATGTAATTAGAACTTTTTATGTTGATTGCGTCAAACAGATGGTTTTACAATGTATCAAAATCGAATAATGAAAATATCACCATTAGAACCAGTAAAGACTTAAAAAGTGTTTTTTACCTTTTCGGGCCGAAGTATCTACTGTCGGTAATAATAAATATAGCTATGAAATGAAAACATGAAAATTACTTATGTATGATATATTGTAGTTGTAAAAGAAAAAAAATAACCTAAAACTAAAAAGAAATTTACTTTAGTTTGAAATCATCTATAGGCCAACAATGAAGTAGAAGTTAATTAAAAAAACTATAAAAGGTAAAAATATAAATAAATAAAGTGTCATTAGAGATGGTTGTCAGAACATCATTACTGTTCTGCTAGGCGAGAAGGGCCGAGTTTTACCGAGCTCTGCCGCACACTAGTTTTATTTGCTGTTAGCAGCCGCCATATTACCTGGGAACTTGGAGTAGTTTTGATACAGATAACTAATAGTTTTTCCTCTTTGCTGGCGGTTTTAATTATAGTTATATGTAACAGTCAATCGCAAATGGCCTGCCTGAACACTCTGAAGCAAGAAATCAAGACATTAGAAGCAGTATTTCCCAAAACTCACGACCGTTTCCAGATCGTCTCTGCAAGTGTAGATGAATTAAATTGTAAATTCGTAGGAAGCAATGGAAAGAAATATGAAATTCATGCAAACATAACAGTAAGTTTTGTTGTTCAACTTCATTCTTTGCATGGTGTATGCGTTAAAAAAAAGTTCGGAACGTTTTTGTAATAAACGTAAGTGATACCCATAACTAATCAGTAACATAACAAAGAGTACAATACCACTCTATATTGTGTAACTTTTTTTCTTTCTCTGAATAGTTGATCAAGTTTAACCTTTCCTTGAACAGACATGGATTGATTAATTAATTGTATGTCCAAAATTATATTTGATTCTTTTTTCACTATTCTTAGAAGGATGTTCGTATTTATGTAATGAATAGTTGACTTTCACATTACTATCAAATTAGAATACAAATTTATTCATCATACTTTGTTTTAATTATATATAATGAACTTCAAGAACTAGTGTATTAGGTTTAGATTTATTGTTTCTAGGTTATGAATCTTTTGTTTCTGTTTTAAAATTCTTATCAAAGTGTGGGGGTATTTAGATTCTGTGATCATAATATGGTTTATGATGACATTAAACTAATTTTGGAATGACTTAACCTTTCTTGTTTCAACAATTCAATCACAGTTGAGTCTTTCTTGACATGGTGCAAATATTTATATTACACTGAAATTTGAAATTTTGTAGCGTATCGTTCTATTTATTATTGTTTTGTATTATTTCATGTATTTGACTGTTTACATGAATCGTATTTGATTGTTGTCAAGAACTTAACAATTGTCATTCTTTTAAAATAATGTTATTTGAAATCATAGAGATTATAGTAGACAATATTCGTTTTAAATGATACTTTGTCATGACCTTTGCCTTTTACTGGTAATTGATTAGTCAACATAAATCTGTTTCAATGATGTTTATTTCAATTCCTTTGACATTGGAATTTTTCAGTAACCTTGAACTTCTACAATATTGAATCTATCTTGAATTGCTGCTGTCACTTTGTTTGGTGAGGTTTTTATTGCATTTGTTTTTTAAAAATATTTTTCATTTTTTATAACAGGAAACTTATCCATCTACTCCTCCAGTATGGTTTGCCGATTCCGAAGATTCAAGTGTTACAAATGCCGTTCAAATATTAAGTAATACTTCTGGAAGAGACAACCATGTGAGTTTAAATATTATTAATTTTTCATCCCAAATATATATTCATAATTATACACTTTAGCGCCATGTTTTTTAACCCGAATTAGTTACAATCAAAACAAAATGTTTGGTAATTAGAATGTTTTACTTATTTTTTTAAGTATTTATTTCTCTTATAATCATTATTGATAGCTGAAATAATTAAAGTTAGATTGTTTTGTTTGTGTATTTTAACATCAGTATTAGTTTATACAATCACTGATATTGTTAACATATTGTAATATTTGTTATTAGTTAGCTCTTACATTTCTTAAACAGGTAAACAATTATATTTTTGTGATTATGCATCATAGTGTCGAAATATTTTTCTATTTAAAACTTTTGTATATTGTAGTTGTATAATATATTTGGTTTTCGTAAAGTTTTTTTTTGGTCAAGCACTAAGTTCTAATGTTAATGTTATTTTTTAATTACGTTTATCTCATCTAAATTCAAGATTAGCTTGTCAATTTTCATTTTGATGATTAAGCACTCAACCTGCTTATCTAAATAAATCTATTTATCATGATAAGGGTCTCAGGATGATTATACAATAATAAATATGCCCGATGACAAACAAATATTCGTTGTTTGTTGACATTTATGAAACACAAACGACTTAATATATTATATTTAATTAGTTTAATGTAAACAGCTTTGTTGTGTTGGCCATTACTTTGTATTGTTTAAAAATTATGCCACCTTGCATTAGTTTACTGTTACCTATGGATTTTTAAGTTATATTTATTTCTTGATGTGTTTACTTAAAATTTAAGCAAAGAATACACCATGAAAAAAAAGTCATTATATTAAATATTATATGAGTGGATTCATATCTGTCATTTTTTTTTTTTTTTTCAGAAATCCGATGATTTTATTTAAGAATGTTCAAGTTGAACCATGAAAAAAAATGTCATTAGAATTGGTTTAAATTAAAGCTATGCTACAAACAATTTTCTCAACTCTTTAAAAATGACAGATACCCATCTTTGATATTGAGCCATTCACATGGTGCAATATATATGTGGGCAGTCTCAGTAACCCCTACCATTTGCTGGAGGGGTTGGCTGTATTACAAAGGGTGTTAAATAAAATTACATCTACAAAGAAGGACGGACCTTAACGAAGATACCACTTATTCCCAGAATTATTTTTCTCTTATTATGGTTACAAATAGCTAATAAAAATTATTATAATTCAAATTCAAATTGGCAATAAGGCACGATGTATAATATAGATTTTTAATGAAATTAAAAATTTGTCAACTGTACTTTCGTTCTGCTTATTTTATGTTGATAAAAAATAATACAATCTGAACTACAGAATTCATGTAAATTATAGTTATATAATTTGAGCAATGGATAGTACAATTAAATGAACAGTTGTATAATTTGTTAAATAGAGGTTGGTCCGTCGTTCAGAGGACATGGGTTACCACCATAGTACAATAAAAATTAAAAATCAATATCTCTGTAGAACAAATCCAATACATAGGACTCCAGCTGGACAAACGTCTCACTTGGAATCCTCATACAAGACTGAAACGACAAGAAACTGCTCAACGTTTCCGCTTACTGGACAAACGCTCTAAACTTCCAATTAATTACAAACGACTCATATACATGACTATAATAAGACCTATTTGGACTTATGGAGTTGAGCTATGGGGCTCCACTGAACCATCAAATTCCTCTCGTATACAATCCAAAATCCTCAATACTCCTTACTATGTCACAAATAAAATAATCCATAAAGACCTCAATGTTCCATATGTTTCCGATTTGGCCAAATCCAGATACCTATCCTTCCATAATAAGCTTCATAACCATCCGAATCCTCTTGTTTCTAACCTTGCTTCCTCTTCGATTCCTGATAACCCTCCGAGGCTTCTGAAAAGAAGATGGCCTCGTGATCTCCTCATGTAGACAAATTATTAGAGTGCTACCAATGGGTAGTTTCTCAACAAGCGTGTTTCATGTGATTATATTCCTCTGTACAAATTTACTTGATGTATTCATACTAATACAGTTGTAAATATCCTAATAAAAGCTTTAAAAAAACAAAAAAACAATATATACATAAATATTTATTGACTGAATTCACAAGTATCGGAATTTACTAGAAAATATTGAATTAGTATGTATTAAGATCATTTTTTTATTTCGTTAATCTTCTAGAACCAATAAATAAAAGGTTATTTTTGTTTGGTTTGAATTTAGAAGCAACTTCTTCATTACTTCTGTTATATGTTGTAGAAGGATTAGTTACCATGTTGTTCTCTGATGCGTTATTGGTATAATTGAAATGAGGCTCTGCACTTTGATGGTTACTGGTATTCTCTTTTTATGAAAGTAAATAAGGAATGTTTGGAAAATAAACCTCAGGAAGAGAACGTGTGCCAATGAGTAAAACAATTCTCAAAAATTTAATGTGACTCTTTGGGTTAGATATTTCTTTCTAACTCTTTGCATCTCTTTTTTACCTTCCTGAAAATTTTTTTTTTTTGCCTGTTCAAAATTTGGTGTGTTCCTGATTAACTTCATTTGATGACCTCGTTCACACAATTTCACGTCTGCAAGTATCCCAACGTTTTGAAAATATTCAATAGCCTGTTCTTCTGAAGACGGTAAATCCCAGATTGTAACAAGATTCATAATTTGACGAAAATAAACTTTAAGAAAAAATGAAAAATAAACACAAACAGACCGAAAATAAAGAATTTAATAAAGGAATAACTGAAAAATAAACAATGTAATAACTGAAAGGTTTGGCGGGATAAGAAGAGAGAGGTTATGTGACGTGACTTTAGATAACATAGATAAGAAGTGAGGTTTCAACCCGGCCTGCTAGTGAAGTACCATTGAAACTATTTATTAACTAGCCTAAATGTTATCCACAATTTGTTGGGTGCAGAAGAACTGTTGTCTCGGCTCTGGTCATCACTGTTCTCATAAAAACTAAAATGGAAATCTTTCAAGTTCATCAGACCTATTACCACTTTTTATGGTTGTGGAACCATTTTACTGAAAGTCGTCTAGATATTTTCTTGTTTACCAAATTTATTTGGGTCTAGAAAATTCCTTTTTCTCCTTTCACCTCTCCTTTTTCCAGAGCTGTTTTTAAAATCAACAATGTCAACTATCTATCATTAACCTTTTAGCAATGATAAGCAGGAAGGAAGGACTGGCTTTGAGGAGTCAGTTTTCCATGCCCCTGTAATAGAATACTTTTCATCACATCTATACTCCATTTAAGCCATTTTATTTAAGGCATCCTTCCAATCTAACTTTTGTATATCCAACAATGATATCGATAGAAGAATTGGTGAAGGAAGAAAAGTCACGGCAATACTCAACTGTATCCTTTGGAGCGACAATATTCTTTCCAGTACAAAAAGGCTAATATACAAGATTTTATTTGAGCCAATAACGTCATATGCCTTGGAGACATGGGTCATCAATGCAAGACACCAGAAAAGATTGCAGTAGAATTGGACTTTTGGAGAAGGGCAGCAAGGAAATCTAGATGAGAAAGAATAAAAAATAATAGAATTTTGGAAATATTTAGGGGTTGAAAGAAAAATTATAGTGAATATTGGAAAGAAAAGATAATGCTAGTTTGCTCCCACCCTCACCCCCTGGTTTAGGAACCCCCTCTCCCCCTGTATAGCCTAAAAGGCGAGAAAGGGCAAAAAAAAAAAAATGTTCTTAATCAAAATAAATCTTTAATGCAATCAATGTGTGTTGTATTTTTAAAACATGACCTATACATTTTTTTTAGATCTTTAATTTTTATAAAAAATGACCTTTTGCAATTACAATTCAATGAGCCAAAAATTAAAAACAAAACTGTTTTATGTTTCTGTCATGTTCCTTCTTTTAAAAAAACAACAAAAAAAATACTGAAATATTTTATTATTATATTAGCCCGACGGGCTCTCAACTCATATAAGAGTCCACTGTTGTTAAAGGGTTAATAACTAGTATTTTAAATTTTTACCTAAAGTAAAAGGTTAGTATTGAAAATGCTATCTGATAAAGCTCTTTTTCTTGAATTCCATTTTTGTTAAGACAGAATTATAAAGCTTATAGAAGCATCATTAGATTCTTGTTTTAGTAATGGTTTCTCGTAAACCTTTTCATTTTTTACAGCTTTAATTCTGTTACAAGTGATATACCTTGAGCTCTGACTTTAAGGTAAAAATTTAACATCTCCAGAAAATCGCTTCTAATTCATAAGTAATGTTCATTGTTATGGATAGAGAAATAGAATAAGAGAAATATCAAAATAGAGGTTCTTGGCCTTCAAGTTTGGTCAAATTTGACTGTATCCGTTCCCTCTTGGCATGTTTATGTCAAGCATGTAACCTTATCTCTTCAGCGTGGGAGTTAGGGTCTACCTTTAGATATGGCAGCCATAAACTTCAAATTTTTGTACAAGTCCTATTCATAGAACTTGCATCAAGTATTCTCACTACTGTCTTTCCACTTATAAGATAAGGGTGGATGATAAATAGTTGTAATATGAAGATTGTGTACATATCAAGCATTCACTTAATTTTGGAATCATCTTTTGTTTTCAGGTTATTAATCAAGTGGGAATTTTACTGAAAGAATTGTGTCGCCTTCACAGTGTTCCTGAGCCAGAAGAGCTTGAAAGGCTTGCTCTAGGTAACTTTTTCACAAATCAAATTTTGAAATATTAAATTATTGTTGTTGATTTATATATTTTTAAAAACAGATAATGGATTGCTATAAATATCTGAATCATTCTCTTATTATATTTCATGTTCTGTATGATTAGCTTTTGAAATTATTGCTGTGATTTTTTATTTGACCTCATCTGTCTATCAAAATGAAATATTGGTAAACGTTATTTTAGGGTATGAATACTGTTGATTAATTAATAAATACTTGTGGATATTTTTTAAATTAGGTATTTGGTCATGTGGTGTGCCGATGGATGCTCCACCAACTCCACCTCATCATGATGATGATGAGGACGACGATGATGAAAATGACGACGAAGAGGATCTTCACCTAGAAATGGAAGATCCTGAACCTACCAATAAGAACAAGGTGATTATTTTATTATCCCTCTTATTATTTTTTTTTTTTAAAGAAAGATGTTAAAGAATAAAAAATTTCTATTACCAGGATATCTTATTAAATTCAAGATTTCAATTAATATTTTTATTAAATTAATCATAGTTAACATTTCTTTATCAGGTGAGTTCTCATTTAGTGATAGAGTTGTTTTAATATTCAGGGCGACGATATGGGGGTCGAACATCTTGCAGTTCTTGAAAGGTTGCGGCAGTCGCAGAGGCAAGACCATTTGAAAGGTTCTGTGTCTGGATCTGTACAGGCGACAGATCGACTCATGAAAGAGTTGAGAGACATATACAGATCAGATTCTTTCAAAAAAGGTAAAAACAAGATCTATTTTCTTAAAATTTAGATCTGATTATTTGAATAGAGAGTGATTTTTATTGTTTATTGGTTGGACAGGAAAGTGATATGATTCTTTTTTTTCACTGAATAAATGTAAACTTAAATGAACTGGAAACCCCTTATTCTAAGTTGTTTATATATATTAAGCTAAAGGTCACCAAATGTACACAGTTTTTACATCCTGTATACTTTATTCGACGTTTCGGCTTCAGGAACCATTTTCAAGATCCTGCAAACATGCACCCGTTATTCTAACAATTATTCAAAATATTTCTACCGGATTTCAAGAACCATTTTATTTTGCATAGAGACAGGTCTTGCTCATATTAAAGTATATATATGAGCAAAAGAGATTTAAAATAAAATGATAATCAGATTAAATTATACAAGTTCTTTTTATTAAGTTTTATGCTCTTATAGATTTTAATTTATTATCCATAAATTACCAGACTATTTGAGCATGACCAGAAAGTTTGAGATTTCTATTACTGTAAGCCAGAAACAAAATATATGGGTACATCATATAATATTCAGTCTGGGATTGATATGAGTATATATATTAAAAAAAATTAATAAATTAAAAAATATCTGGTGTGCGCATCGCACAACTTTTTTCACACAAACCAAATGTGTGAACATTTTTTTTAATTTTCTTGATTAATGATCAAACATTTTGAGATTGGAATGCAAAATCTCTAAGTCTTAAAAAAGAAATTCTTCAATATTTATCTGATCAAACAGCGACTTTACATTGAAAATTTTTCTGAAAACCTCAGTGTTTAAAACTGATAATGAAACACATAAAGTATTGTGTATATTTGTTTCGTTTTTCAGGCCCTGAGCTTACATGAAACAGAGTAAATGAACTGGTTGTAAATGTTCCAATGCTATCCCGATAAATTGACATTTTTTCTGATACAACTGGATAAATGTTAATTCTCTTAGGCTCAAATCAAATCAAAAAATGGCTCACTCTTTTATATCTATGTCTGTGTTAGTATTTCTGGAATGTTTATGAATTTTTTTTTTTACAGGTATGTATAGTATTGATCTTGTTAGTGAATCACTGTACGAGTGGAATGTGAGGTTAATGAGCGTGGATCCCGATTCACCCCTTCATAGTGATCTTATAGAGATGAAAGAGAAAGAAGGGAAGGATTCCATTCTGCTCAACATGCTCTTTAAAGAAACTTACCCATTTGAGCCACCGTTTGTCCGCGTTGTTCATCCTATCATTTCTGGTGGTTATGTTCTCGTAAGTATATCTTTATTTTACTACTTACCATAATCTTTTCAGTTCTGAGGATTCAATAGCTTAATCTGCGATTTTCTTCTATTTACCATCTTTATTATAGACCATCAGTTTAAAATAATAGGGTGTATAAAAAAAATTTACCATTTTATCAAATTAAAGATTTCAAAGGACAGTAAATATTTTAATCCTATTTAATACTCACCAATACTTAATAATCACTTTAGAGCATTCTCTAAGCTTGTTTAATCCCATAGGACTTCTTAAAAAAAAACCTCAGTTTAGTTATTTATTTCAAAGAAGAAACATGACAGTGTCCAAAGAAATTCTCATAGTTTTAAGGCATTACTGGAAAACAAATTTCACAGCTGTGGAAGCAACTCATGAAATTATTAAATATGAAGGGAAAGGTGTTCTTGACCAGCGCATTGCCCGATGTTGGTTTGAAAAATTTATAAGTAGAGATAAGACATTGGAAAGAAGGGCTCCAGGCGACCATTAATGGGTACTGATGAGGTTGTGCAGGAAGTTATTGAGTCAAATCCGTCCACGAGTACTCCCGAACTTGTCAGGGACTGTGTTGTGTCGAAAGATTCTGTTAGTTGCTATCCACTCTCCATGGAGAAGGTGAAAAAGAGCAGTAGATTAGTCCATCACGAACTTGTTCCTCAGCAATCAGCTAAGAGGTTAGAAATCTGTGAAAATTTATTGAAAAACCTTTCTGATATGAGACTCCTGCCTCATCCACTGTATAGTCCAGACCTCGCATCATCGGATTACTACTTATTTGGATCCATGTCCATTTTCTTCAAGGGAAAAAAATTTGATAATTTTGTGGAAGTTGAAATTGCGGTTCAAGAGTTCTTTGAAAGCCATCCCAAAAAATAGTATCAGTGTGGGATCGAGCAATTGGCTAGCAGATGGCTAATGACGGTAGATAACAGTGGACTATACTTTCAGTATTAATTGTATTTTATATTGAAGAAATAATAATACAAATATTTGTTGGAAAAACGCTCTTTTTTTTTTTTTTTTTTTTATACACCCTATTAATATATAGGATATTTTAGTCAGTATAGAACAGTTTACTACCCCAAATAAATATATAAATTTTTTAAACCAAATTTACTGTTTTATGTGATACTTGTTTATTACTTAAACATTTCAATTTGATAAAGAGACTCTAGCTGAAACTTGCTATTGTCTTAATGGATTTCTCTTTGACTTCATGTATTGTCAAAAGTGTCTTCCGCATCTTCAAAGGTAAATTATTCCATTATAGTATATAAATTATTCAATCTTTGTTTTAATATTTAAAAACATTGTAAAAATATGTTTTATGGAATGATGTAGACGATAATTTGTTGTGAATTTGTCAATAAAATCATTGTATTGACAATTTTATATATTAGCTGTTTAATGTCATTTGAATCACAATAGTAACTCCCTAATCAACAGAAACATATGATAAATATATTTTAAATTTCTTTACCTGATGGAAGGTTATATGAGGATAATTATCGCTTACAAGGCTTAATTTTTTTTTTTTCCTTTTCTCGGTAAGGTGGGAGGTGCCATATGTATGGAACTATTGACAAAACAGGGCTGGAGCTCAGCATACACGGTAGAAGCTGTTATAATGCAAATAGCTGCTACGCTCGTCAAAGGAAAAGCTAGGATACAGTTTGGGACCCCTAAGGTCGTCGGCCAGGTATTTTCTTAATACATATTTTTGACTCATTTTTCTAGATAAGTTGTTATTCCGATTTCCTAAAGTATTTGTTTTTTTTTTTATAAATACACTTATCTATTCCTTTTTCAGTCAGTAATTTTTTTTTTGTAATAGTTCAGTTGTTTCTTTGCAGTCATATTTTAATTTTAATGTTACTATCAGTTATTTATTTGAATTTAGTATGCATAATCTTTGGCATGGATTTAAAAAAAAAGAGAAATAATACATTTATTAAAGATAAAGTTTCCTGTGACCCATACGATTTGAATAATTTCTCCTGTTAATCAATTCATTATTTTATCCATAGATATAAGAACTTAATTTCATAGTTAAATTAGGGATTTATTAAATCCTATATATTATTTCTAAAAGGGGTTTTTTTGTCGGTACACCATAACTTCGTCAATTCTTCATCAAATCCAATGATTGACCACTCATTTTAAAAATGTTCTTCTCCTTCACATGCGAAAAATAGTCCTATTCCCCCAAAATTTCTGTGGAAAAAGTTATGAAGGAAAAGAAACTTTATTTGCAAATAACTCAAAAATTATGCATTTTTTTCTAGATTGTACCCACGATAATTAGAAAGATTACTCAATTACCTCCAAACCAAAAAAAAAAAAATCGTAAAAATCGGACAATTATTAACAAAGATAAAGTCCATTAGTTTTGGTATACTTAATAATGTCTTCCTATTTAAAGTTATTGCATTTAATAGTCTACTACATTTTTTTCCCTGGCTGATATATTAAATTTATTATTTCTTAAAGACATTTGGTTGCTCTTAAATTTTATTTTTTTTTAATAATTTAGAATATCCCATGGTCAGGGCATTGTTTTGTCTTTATTACTTTTATTATCTTTCCAGTCAGCTTTTAAAAATAGGCAAAGCAATTTGTACAAATATTTTTATCTATTATGTTTAATGGAATATTGTAATCGACCAAGGAAAAATTATTAATTCCTTCCTTACATAATACATAGGAACTACTTATTTCCATATTTGTTTGCTATTTCTTTACTAAACTAAATTTTCTGCTAATTTTTTTGTCCGCACCAACTAGTAGAAATAATTTTCACTTAAGTACCAACCAATTAAATTATAGTTAGACTTTATTACAAAAAAGTTCCTTAGAACTTTTATTTCAAGTAATTTTTTCCTGAAAAGGTTTCACAGAAAATGTTTATATGGAACTTTTTTTCTAAAGAATTTCAACCCCTGCTTATTATTAAGCTAGGACATTTTGAAGACCAAATATTTATGGCGAGAGTTGTTGATATTAACAAGGCACCTATCTCCTTTTTGATACTCTCAAACTAAATTCAGCATCCCTTAATGCTTTAAAAGGGGAGAGGGCATGAGAGGAAAGGGTGGAGAGAGGGATACCCATACGTTTCCACACTTCCGTAAGAAACCGTAGGGTAATGTTTGATCCACGAAAGTCCATTGCTACCCTCAAACAGTTCCTGAGATTCCGTGACTCTATGCCCCTAAAAACCCGCCAACTCCTAGTTTTCTCACTTCGATTATGGCATACGGTGAACTGTCTGGTTGTCTATAGATCAGATTGCAAAGACTAATGAATTGTTTCATTCGATTCACCTTTGGAGTCCCCAGGCGCTCCCACGTCTCCAGTTGGTATGCTGAGTTTAAGTGGCTCTGTCCAGATTTCCGGCAGCAATATTTCCTAGATTTATTCCTTTTCCGAACCTTTACATTTAAAAAGCCATCTTACCTTCTTGATTTCTTTACTCCTTGTTTCTCTGTTCATTCGTTCAACACGAGATCCCAGTCCATAAACCTCTTTGTTCCCTCACATAGAACCGTTCCCTTTAAAAAATCCTTTCCTTTTTTATAATGCCAGACAATTTTCACATTTTTGTACATTATAATTATTCGAAGGGGACTAAATGTCCCAGAATAAAATTTATTTTTCTTCTTCTTTAAATGATTGAAAATAAATAATTTCTTACGAATTCGGATTTTTATTGTTTCAGTACAAAGCTAAGGCCGAAAATAATTAATACTAAGTTTATTGTGCATGAAGTAAAACTAAAACTAGTTTGATGAGTTAACATAATAAATCTCATTTGGTAACAGGATTAAAATGACTCATAGTAAAAATTACAACAAAAAAAGTTTTTAAAAACTCACATCCCTTCTGTATGTGCATAATAATAATTATATTTTAAATTATTCATGTTAGTAATAAGATTTTGTGAATTTTGACTCTAGTCCAATTTTCTATACACACAATTTTCAGAAACTTTAATCTTTACACTCATGTTTACTGTCAGTTTATTTAACTGTATTTGAATTTTTCTGTTAAGATTATATTTATACAAAGTTATTAAGATTATATTTATTGCAAATAGGGACAGTACAGTCTCGCCAGAGCACAGCAGTCTTTCAAATCACTTGTTCAAATCCACGAAAAAAATGGTAAGTTTTCATTGATATAAATTAAATATGTATAATAATAAAAGCACATATTTGATCACTTTATTTGTTATTTTACGTCAAAGTTTCAGCCCTTGGGTCATTATCAAGGGAAGAAACCTTTTTTTACAAATAAAACAAACATCACAGCCTAATTGTATTTGCTGATTTTGAGATGTGACAATGTAATGAGGTTTTGAAATAAACATAACCTTATAGAGGAAGGTTTTAGTATTGGACTATTTAAATGGAGTTGACAAGAGCAATTCAGTCCATAATGATTTTTAATTATTAAAATAGGTGTGTAAAATAGAGTAATAATAATAAAAGGCTTAGCGAACCCGAAAGTTCGATGCCGACACCACCGATGGCTTATTACACACATCACTCCACTGTTTGCCGTCCAAACCTAGTCTCTTCAGATCGGCCTTAACGCAATCTTCCCACTTTTGCTTTGGTCTACCCCTTGGACGTTTACCATCCGGTCCAGCAAATATTAACCTTTTACATTTAAAAAATTTAAAATAGAGTATTAAGTGAAAATAATTAGTTGGCTGATGTAATTAGTCTGTGATGTCTGTTTTATTTGTTAAAGATTTCTTCCCTTTATATTGGCCTATTGGCTGAAATGTTGATTTCAAATAACAAATAAGGTAGAAATATAGTGATGAAATATGCGGTTTTATTATTACTATTAATGTGAAGTCCTAACCTACAAATTTGGATACATATATTTAATTAAATATGTGTTTATATAACTTGAAATCAACTAGTAAGATTTGTATTTATCTAACAAAAAAATAATTAAATTGTACAATACAGTCTGTATCCCATAAAAGATGTGACATTATTAGGTTAAGTGCCGCTGTACACACACTAATGATATATGCTAGTTTTTTACTAATAAGTTAATTTTGTTTGATTGTAGGTTGGTTTACCCCTCCGAAGGAAGATGGCTAATCTCCCATTATGCCTATTATTTAATTATTCAAAATGTGAAAGGATTGAAAAGTGAAAGCTGCTAAGTGATTAGTGTTCTAGATATTGGATATTTTTTTAAAAAGAAACCCCTGTATATTCTGTTCCCTTTAAGCTATTCGCAGCCAATCTAACTTCTATATATATATTTATATATATAGTTTTGATTTGTTCTATAAGACTGTAATTTACCTAATGATATACAGATTTAGTGGAGAACGTGTTATATTATTTTAGAATTTTTTTGTAATACTTGTTTATAATGCAATTATTTCTTTAGTAGCAGTGGTTAGTTGAAATTCTTTCATGCTCTATAGCTCTTGTGTATTTAGATTAAAAAAAAAAAAAAATTCTATATCACATCCCCGATTTTTTCCTCATATTAATGAATGCATTAGTTATACTGAAATTTGTTAACAACAGCTGGTCGGCTGTTATAATTTTAAAATAGCAAGTTATGAATTTCAAATTTTGATTGTCCATAGTAAGGCCTTACACATTCATTTCTTTATTAGTGCAATATTATTATGTTTTTGTTTTCCTTTTTTCTCTATTTCTTATGTAAAAGATGGAGCTATGTTTTCCTTAGGCACGGGTTTTTCCGCTGCTGCAGGACTGATAATCCCCGATGATAAATGAGAGAGAATGCAGAACATGTATCGATGTGGGGTGGGTTTAGGTGAAAGAATAATTACGAGGCAGTCTTCTATCAAATTCTTTTTCTCAGATTTTTTTTTTTTTTTTACATCATAATTAATGGTGCCTAACTCTTATTTAATTTTGATTATTTGAATTTCAAAACAGGATATTTTTTTTAATCCATTTTTTAAATGGAAAATTATGAAATACTTACTTGAAAATCTTACTTAATTCAATATAGTTGTAGTAATTAAAAAAAAAATTGGCAGTATACTACCTGGAAACCTACACCGGTTATCGGCAATGTACTGTAAATAATTCTATGATAGGATTGTTAGTTTTTTATTAGCTAGTTATCAAAGTGTGATATTAAATAATTTGTGATTGATTTTGTGAATATTGAATTAACAAAATTTATCGGTTTTGTTGATGCAAGTTGATGTTCGAACATCAACTCAATCCAGTTGCTCTTTGATTCGAAAACAAATTTAATAATATAAGAGATTCCCCTCAACAGGTAGAAATAAATTGCTTTGCGAAAATGCAGACATATGTTGCAAATCGGCGTCATTCTCTGCAGCGGAAAAATAATAATTATTGAATGGAAGGAACATTTGAAAAAAGCAATTGATTTAATTGCAATTAATAAGTTTTGTAAGTAATTTAATAGTGTCACTCACAATTAAAAAATATTAATGTATAGTTTGAATTTTGTATTTATTTTATTAATTGACTTGTTTTATTTATAATTCGTAAGAAAGAAAATTGATAGCTGTTCGAATTTGAAACTTGTGAATGTGTAGGGTGTTGCCTCTATTAATTTTACCAAATCTGTTCTAATAAATTTATCAAATACCGAACAAAGTTTTGTTTTAATCATTACATTACTATATAGCTTCTGAAAGTATCATTTGTAATGAATAAGGTTCCTGTAGCTACTTTTTAGTTTATTGTGTATTCGTACATTTTTAATTAGTAATTTAGTTATTAAATAAATGTGTTGTACAAACCACCTTCTTTGTGGTAAAGTGTATAATAACGTTTTATGTTTTTAAAATTGCTTTCTCATATGTCTCTGTACCATGGAATGCCTGTAAAAATAATTTTAAAAATATATATAATAATAATAGGAAACTGTTAAAAAAAAAAAAAAAAATCATTAGAAACAGGATTATATTAGAGTGTTGAAAGTATGCCTTGTTTGTCAGAAACTGTTTTGATAATGATTCCTTTGCTTATAGTTACCGTCATGATATTGGGATTTATTACACTTCAGCGATATAAGACATTCCAGATACAATGCAAAAGTTGTGGGCTATGTATATATTTTAAACCTTTTTTACCACAACTTTTATTCACTCCATTTATAACACATTGTTTAAATGTAAAGAAAAAAAAAGTAAAAAAACAAAAAACAAATGATGCAAAAAGAGAATTTTAAAGTGAGAAAAATTGTTATATGTACATATATTGGTCGATGTGTGCAGTGATCACTAACTAATGTAATAAAATATTTGTAAAAATTGTAGCTTCTTGATGAAATCCCTTTATACTTGTAAGTATGAATCTTTATATTATGTCAAAAGCTTGCTGGTCAACGACATATTAACTTAAAATAAACAGTAATTAATACTGGATAAAATACATTATCGAATGGCTGTTATTTTTTGTAATTATCCTTATTCTGATATACCCTCGTACATTTTTTCACAAAACCTCGAAGTCGGTTTTGTACCAAATATAAGCTGTCATGCTCAAATGTCATGAATTGGGTACCGCTGGATTCAGAATTTCATGGCGGATTAGCGAATCATACTTATTGTTTTTCTGATATTTAAGTGTTGAAAAGAGGGAACAGTGGAGAAATTTCTTCAGAAGCCATGGAGTTCAGGACAGCCACAAGCAGATAGACAGACCAGTTGGGGAGCCTCTCTCTACGCATCTGTTTCCTATACGTCGAGCACATACCTTTATTGTTGTCACTACCACCCGCGTATATTATCTCGCTACCTATTCAAATTATTTCATTTGTTATAATTCACATTTGACTACGGTTTGTATGCAAATCAGTTGGAAAAACAAAAAATATAATACTAGTTACATAGCTGTTTTGGCCGATTAAAATATGTGAAAATGTCATTACCGAGTTAGAAACTCGTTTCATTCCCACAGCCGAATTATTAGCTTTACTTACTTTAATTAGTGAGCAAAAAGCACGTTTGATCTTGGCCATTTGCTGAGCGACAATAGGTGTAGGTATTTAGAAAATTGTATTTAAATGCCATCAAAATTATTAAGATTTTATCATGAAAATTGCCCATAATCTGAGAATCACCCATGTATGATCTCAACTAGGAACCTATGGAGAAGAGGAGTTTATATTATTTCCTCAAAGGTTTTTTCAAAGTTGTTTTTTGTTGGTAAGCCATATCTTCATTCATCAAATCCAATGAATGAGCTATAATTTTGAAGATTTCCTTATTAAAAAGTCACACCTGAAGTTTAAGGAAAAACGTTATGAAGCAAATGAAACTTTCTATGTGAATAACTAAAAAATTATACATTTTATGGTTGCACAAATGATTGATTTTATAGAAGTTCTTAAATCCATACAAAACAAAAAAAAAATTTAATCATTATCGGACAATTCTTAACAAAGATGCACCTGCTTTTAATTTGTAAATTTGTTGGTTTAAAATACCTTTTTCAGGTGGTTTTCAATCAATTTTGTTTTCTTGATTACAATTACTGAGATTATAAGATGTGATTCTTCCATCTTATGATATGTTTTATCATTTTATTTATTTCTTATTTTGTCATCTGTTCACTGACCAATATACTTTGTGAATTATACGCACTTTTAATTTTTTCTATTTGCTGCACAACTTAAGCATAATCTATTACAGATTTGGAAGAATATTAAAATATTCTTCAAGAATTAATTCATAACTTTATTAGTTTAATGCAAAATTCAAAATAACCATTAGAAGAATATGGACCCTTTTCACTTGAAAATTGTTTACAAACTTAGTGCACATTGTGCTGTAAAATAATAATATACCTTTGTCAATTAAAAACACTATTTTCCTTCCACCCTGACAATAAGAACTGGAGACATGACCGTGATGGTTTGTTCAGTGCACTCGCCTTAAAAGAACCACCTGCTGCGGAATGGTTGTGTTTTGGGAGGGGAAAAGTTTGAGAATTTGATAATGTTCATTGTTTCGTCAAATTCATACCTGTTTTATCTCAAGATCTACAGTAAGAAAATTATTATCCGTTCTGAAGTAATAGTACAATAGCTTATTAAAGTTAGTAAATATATTACAGCTATGTTAATAAATTTGAATTGGCATTAACAGCTTATCATCACTATACGTCCTGTGGGTTATTTAGTAATTCTATTTTATTCTCATGATTACATTGTTCTTAGTATGTATATTTGTACAAATATATGAGAACGTTTGTGTCATAACAGTTTTGGTGAAGAAAGAATACCATTAATATTACAATAAGAATATACTTATTATTTATAAATTTTTTAAAATATGTTTGGGAAAGCATTCAAAGAGCTAAGATATGATATGCTTCATTATTTCTGTATTGATTAAAACCATTATATGTAATAGTAAGGCCTTCGCTGACGACCTCGTCTTACTAGCTGCCAATGATCGAGACCTCCAACATAACATCAATGTCCTCCAAGAGGATTTATCTGCAATAAATATTAATCCGGGGAAGACTAAATGCATGAGGATTGGAAAGAAACACTGAAGGATAATGAGGGTACTAAGGATTGGAGGACAGAGATTAGAGCAGGTTGAGAGTTTTAAATATCTTGGAGCTCATCTCAATGAGAATGGCTACATAGACGAAGAAGTGGCTCAAAGAATTAGAGCGGCAGAGAAGATGTTCAGTATGGCCAGCCAGGGTTTCCTGGGAAGAAGAAAGGTGTCAAAGCAGACCAAACTAGCCATTTATAAATTGATATTCTTCCCTATCCTGCCGCACTCTTCAGAATCGTGGGCCCTCACCACAAAACACAGAAGTCAGATACATGGAAATGAAATATCTGCCTAAAATAATAGAAAGAAAGACACATGGATTCGGAATACCAATATACAGGCTAATCTCAACGTCAAACCGGTGGAGACCATTCTAGGGAAGCACAAACTAAAGTAGTTTGGACATCTTCTTAGGATGGATCCGGATAGAAGCTCCAGGATGACTTACGAGGCCCACACGGAAGGGAGAAGACCCAGAAGAAGGCCTCGCATCTCCTAGGAGGATAGTGTAAAGGAGGCATACAGGAAGTGCAGAATACATTGGAATAGGAGAATAGAGTTGGTACAAGAGAAAGACGGCTGGGCCAGACTCTATAAGCAGGACCCTCACACCGAACAGCGGTAGAAGAAAGAATGACTATGATGATGCAAAAGTAATGGTAGTAAACTTGACCAGAAGATAAATTCCAATAGATTATAATATTTTAAATACTCTTAGGCTAACAACAGGAGACCAGAAAATATATCTGAACAATCATTCTAATATTTTCCAGTATCATGCTGGTGGAAAAGCACTATACCACTCTTGATTAATACATTAACATAAGCCATGGAAATTACCAATACAAAAGGTACAGAAAAATGAGAGCTTATGAGAATAACCTTTGTTTTTATTTGGCTAGATCACAAAGCTTGCCTTCTCCATTCTTGGACAAATGGAAGGCTTTGATGCAGGGGGACTTCTACAGCAAGGGTGAAGGGAGATTTCCAAGAAGAAGAGAAAATATCAGCTCAGTATATTATATTTTTGTATAATTCCTTAATCCAAATATATTTTGTTTTATTATCTCATTTAAGTTTTTAATTTTTCCTAAGACATTGAACCTGATAATATAATCAGAGCAAGGCATGGTGATAACAAAATTATACACTAACACCAGTTACTGAACTCATATCGACATACTACAAATGACTGAATGATAAATTTAACAGACTCAGAGAGGAAATGCCCATGTCTCTCTGATGGCTGGATCCTGCAGGAGGGGTCTACTTACATGTACATGGAAGTAAAGTCAAGACAGGTGCTTCTCTTACATTTCCTTAGCTTTTAGACTTAAGTCATTTTTTTCAGTCATGCACTTGACTGATGTGGAATAATAAATGAAAGTTACAAAATAAAACTGCTCAATGCCTATATCTTTTTCTAACACTTAAAATTATTCATATACTAGAAAATATTTTTTTTAAGTTAAAAATTGTATTACAATTTTTAAAAAATTGCTGTATTCAGCAGTTAAACCATGCTGAATATATTTTGAATATAGATGTGGGAGAACAGAACTTGGCAGTACATTCAACAGAATTATTATGTTGTCAAGCCTTCACAGAGTAACATCTGAGGAGGCACTTAGTGCTTTGTAAAAAGTTATACGAGTTAAATTAATTTTAGGCTATTAATAAAGCAACTCTAATATAAAGTAATGCAAAACAGTATAAGAAATCAATATTATTATTTAATGGAGGAGAGGCTCATTGAATGATTGCTTGGGGGTGCCAAATGTCTAAGGACAGCACTGTTTACAATTTTTTTGATTTGTTGTAGAAATGTTTGAACATAATAAATAAGGAGACGATATATCTTTGTTAGAATACATAAGTCAATGTGAAGAGCATTGTTTGAAGCATTGGGGGGTGAGGCTGAAGGATATTGTTATACAGTGGATATTTAATAATTGAATATTGTTATAAAAATGGATTCAGCCCTAAATATACAAATATTATTTTTAGCTCTTAAAGGATTCAATAATAGAATTTTGTATAACACAAACTTTTTTCTTTAATTCTTTAGAAAGTTATAGTATGTTTAAGCAATATATTGTAATGTACACCTTTATTGGAAGTGAGTAAAAAGGGTTTAATAAATTAATGTTGAACAATTAAAAGGCAGGCTAATCTAGTTCTACTAGTGCAGGGAAAAGAAAATGGCTGCTCTGTAGTTTCCCAAAAGGAAAATCCCAAAGAGTAGAGGGACAAAGGTTTTTGTTTTGGCCTGCAATGAAGAGAGGATAGAAGAGACCTGGCTCCAGTGGGTAAAACCCAGTAATACTATTACCATTTTGGAAGTTGTGTTTGTCAGATCATTGGAAAGCATTTGAAGACAAATGAATTTAGTGCATCAAAGGAAGAAACAGTGTATATAGAAAAAAGGCTAACTTGCCAATTTATACTTGAGTTTATTTTAAAATCAGTGTTTAATTTTAGTATAAATAGTGTAAAAAATAATAGTTAGTTTGAGTTGATCTGACTGTCAGTAACCCATACATGAGATAGAATAATTGTAATTTTCAGTTAATTATATTAATATTCTTATAATTTTGATTTTTTTATTTAACAACCTTTTATTGATTTTGGAGGAATCCCAACGGTATAAAGTGATCTTTCGAGGTTATATTATTATTATTTGTAAAATATAAGAGAGATGTTACAATATGTATATCATTGGTTGTATTTGCAATATTCTAAATTGAAAACCTTGCTTCTTTCAAGTTAAAGCTTATTTCAAACCAGTATGACTTCATTCTTGCATTCTCTGATTAATTGAAGTGTTCGGTTTGAATAAGTTTCTGGGTTATATTTTTCTTTGTGAAATTGGGTTTTTGATTTAAAACATTCTATTTAGCTTCCACATTTGTATTGCAAATTCATTCAGAAATCAACAGATAGAATTGCTATACCACTTTAATTAGCTAGAATGATTGACTATAATTTGAATAATGGTCTATGTAATAGCTACCCCGAGTTCATTTTTTTTTTTAGTTCACATAACATTGGTTGTGTCTGTTATAAAACTTATTAAACCAATTGCTCCATTTCGAACAATTTTATAATTTGAACTGTTATTTTTCTCTTTTATTGAGAGTGAAACTGATTAAAAAAAAAAAAAAAAAAAACCTGTACCACTACAACTCATGAAAGGTCTTGGGTTCAGCATTATTTAGGGAAAGCACTGTTTCTTGGTCTACGGTTGTGCAAGGAGGTGATTTGACAGAGATTACGTTCGACTGCCAGGTTTTTCTCCTTAATTAATTTAATTAAGGATACACACTTTATTGATGGTGGGTGTGCCCCCGGAGGATTTACTTACCCAGGGTCGCCTCATGGCCAATGAAACAGAATAAATAACTTTTCTGCCATGAGCCGGGATTCGAACCTGGGACCTTTAACATTAGAAACTCAGTACCCTACCACTGAGTTACCCCACTCCCCAAAACTGATTAAATGCCTTGAACTGGCCTTTATTATGTCATAATATAGAATAATATCTGAAAACAGTAATATAAGAAATGTCTCTCCCTGACCCAAGAGTTTTACGAGATAACGATTTTTGTAACTTTAACCAATATTGATATTCTCTAAATTGCCTTTGACTGAACCCTCAATTGCATCAAGCATTAAAGTAATTACCATGTTAGTTTTATTTTCCATATAATTGCCAAAACAGGAAAATACAGATAAATAACTATCAAGCAATCAGTTCATGTTAAAAATCTTGAGTTTACTTCTGAATTAAAAAAATTATACTAATAATAATAATAATAAGAGTGAAAATTGATTAAAAGACTATTTAATGCTTTTATACAATAAATTAAGTGGATATGAAGTTCTAATTTTGACGATATCTCAAGTTAATGAAAATTTGAAAGCAATGGCATACTGGGGGGAGAGGAGAGAAGAAATCAGAAAGGACACTTCATCGCAAGTCCCACTGCAATTTTTTAAAAATTTCATGGAAACTTCATTGCAAAAAAATTGTTTTTAATAAGATGTAACTTTTTTTCTCTCTTATTAGTGATTATTTTATCTTTGTGGATTTACTTAATTAATAATAAACTTTAATCGAAGAATAAAAATTTATTAATGAGCCCGAATACAGAACATTGACTGCTTTTTCGGAAATGATTCATATATATTATTCAGTAAAGTAATTATTTAACTGAATAATCGAAAACTTTAAATACTTTTTGAATTTAAAATTAATTATTTACTTTTTTTATATAGGACTCCAAAAATAAATCTGCCCTGTGCCCCAAATGGTCTTGGTAGGCCACTGTACGATTGATTTGTAAATTAAATCAAAATTGAGAACCTTAGACTTTTAACAGGTAATCTTAAGAAAATAACTTTTTAATTGTAATTCTTGTCTTTTATTGAACTTTTACGATAATTTTATACAAGTTGACCAGTGCGAAAAATTCATATTGAGTTTTGATCAGTGAACAAATGGTAATATAATGTAGAAATAAATTTTGTAGAGAATTTAGAATTCATTATTATTATGTTTATAATCAACCATAAATTGTATACTTTTTGAGTTCTTAACAGATAAAATTTTGTTTTCCGCATAAGTCTTTCTCCTGACTTTTCTAGAGATGTGCTGGATTTTTTTACACTTGAAGGAGAATATAATCTTCAAAATATGGTTCAATCATTGTATTTGACAAAGAAATGTGGAGGGTACAGCATACTGACAAAAGATTTTTTTTTTTTTTTTTTTATTAAACGCCCTGCCGTTGGCTATTAGGCCATTCGGCTTCTGGCAGCCCAGTATAATTCCGCCATGAATCGTTTGTTTACATTTGTTCCGATCCCATCAGAAGTACTGCGGACATCTGACAGAGCCGGGCAAACTGGGAGGTGCAGGTCGTACATCTCGTCCTGTTGGCAAAGAGGGCACACAGGACTTTCCACCACTCCGATCCTATGTAAATGCCTTTGCAGGTAATCGTGCCCTGTTGCCATGCGGAAGTTTGCCACCGATTCTTTCCTATTTTAGGTTTGTTTCATCGGCTCCTCTGTTAAACATTCCCATTTTTTCCCCTACTGACAAAAGAAAAAAAAAACACCTTTCAAAAATAATATATAAGGATAGCTTATTATTTACTGCTTCAGTAATATTCTTTCATTGATAATAATTTGCCATATTATATCTATATATACTGTATTACAGTATTTAAAAAATATATATATTTCTAACTTTTGAAAGGAAACTGAAATAGACCATTATGTGATTTTTATTCCATTTCAATACATGTAATATTTAATTATGATACAATCGAAGACCTGCTAATCTTCAGGTCAATGAAGTCAACTTTATTTTATACAGGTTTAAATAGGATATATAATACTAGATTTTAAATTTGTAATATAATAAATACATGAACAAATAGTAATATATATACACACTGTTAGATAAACAATTATTTTTTATTATAACAGTCTCTGTGCATAAAAAAATCTTCCCCTCTTTGGTAAAGCCCCATCTCAATTAATAACACATCTTACAATAAGATCTACATTTAATCAAAGTGATACTTTTTAATCCGAGTTCCACGCTTTCTAATCTTCCAACAGGTTTTATGCTGATTAATATATCGAAAATTTTAATTTGTCTTTTAGCTCCACCTGAACTGTTGAGAAAATACAATGATGTTTATTGTTTTCTACATGAATTATGAAACCAAACTGTCAATTTAAAAAAAAAAAGTTAAATATAGATTAACAATTTGAGTCAGAAGTATATATTTAAATTGTACCAGATGGAGAATGATTAACTGCGTCGAACCGAAGGCATAACGAGATCTTTCCTTAAAGCATTTGGTAACAATAAACAAAATAAATATTTTTTCTTCGATAGCTTTTTCTGAGGTGGTCAGCATCGTGCGTGAGCCAAACAGCATTAATATAATCAATTTCTCGCTTACCTGTGAACAAAATATTATTGATTTAAAATAAAATTGTTTTCAAATTAAACAACATTCAAATATAAGAGAAGTATCTTGGTATGGTCCTGCTATAGATCTATCATGAATTATTATATTTAAAAAATAGTCATTCTTCTGATTAGCAAAAAAACAATCACAAAAATTTATTATATAATTTATTTTCTAGCTGTGTATTAATTATTAACAATTTATGAGCTCTCTCTTAAAAGGTTGCTGCTAACATTTCATTGATTAAAAAAAACTTACCTTTGATCAAATTAATATATTTTCAGTGACAGCTTCTTGAATTATGTCAGACAGTAAATACACGCACTACTAATCAGAATAGATGAGGTTCACAAGAGTTTCGCACGGATTACGCGCGTTATAAATTTGTAAATAAATAATTCGTTAAGAAAGTTCTAAGCCGATAATAAATGAAAGGAAACGGCTGGTTGGGACAACAGGTGACGTCATAATATTCGACAGTTCTCGGTTTTTCATAAACAATTGTGAACAAAATGATTGTGAACCACGCTTAATCCGTACGAAACTCATGCGAACCAATACCTTTCCATCTATAATAAATAATATAATACACTATTATTATAATTTAAATGTGTAGGCTACTTTATGAATAAATATGTTGTTCACGGAGAAGAGAAAGTGTCTACTTCTAAAATTTCGCAGTGTTGCCACTCTCTGGAAAATGAATTTTGTTCTTATTTAAAACTGATACTACATAATAGATGCATTTATTATTATGTGCTCAATTGAAAAATGAATAGTATTAAAAAATGTGAATGTAATTTATTGCTTTTTTAATGTTACATATTAAGTTGAGATATTAAAATGTTTTAATAATTAATTATTAGAGATTAATCATAGGAAATCAAAGTTAAGCAACTTCGAGCGTCATTAACCGTCTAGAGTTGTGACCTGTGGACGGTTTGTTTCGGGGAAAGAGTTATAGGCCCTTTTTGGGCTTGCTGACCGTGAACAGCCATAATTCATGGATATAGACCGTTTGGCACTATTATTGACTCCGAAGGAGTCGATTGGATCAGGACCGTCGCGTGAGTATCGCCCCCCCCCCCCAGGGCGAGATTTTCCTAAGCGCTTCTCTTTTATTTTCCGTTTTTTTTCCACTTTTCTTCATAGATTCGAGTTACTTCAGACTATAAATAAAAATCACTATATATTTATTATCAGGTATTCATGTAGATCATAAAGATAGGCAGACATCCACAGAAATCGAAATCGGCTTTATATAAATACAGTTACAAGTATATAATATACTTAAGGGATTCAAGCCGAGAAAATACTTTATAAAGGATGAGAACGGCAACGTTCTGACTAAGCCACTAACGGATCCAGGATTTAATTTTGGGGGACTTCAACCTGAAAGATATTTTTTTGTGTGTATATATTATGATTATTTCTTCGGAAGTAATAAATAAACTAACTACCTCTATGAAATGGTATTTCAGTGATTCCTATCTCAGTGAAGTCCTATTAAATGTACTTAGATGAATAATAATACTTTTAGAGATAATTTTTTTCATAAAGCATGGTTATATTTTACCATTTTTTTTTTTTTTTTTTTTTTTTGTGAGGAGGGCTTTAGCCCGAAAGCTCCTCCTACTCCCTCTCTTCCCCCTGGAGATCCTCCAGTGGACCAATCAAAGAAATATAATAAGCAGATGGACTCGGCATTTTCAGAGCCTACCAAACAAGGAGAAGAAGACCGTAATGAAAATCCCCGATTTGGATTGGACTAGAGAATGACAATGGAGATTGAAGCACCTCCTCAGAAGGAAGAGTTTCTTGAAATCCTCCTCAGCATAAAAAATGATGATGCTCCTGTGGTTCACTAGCGGATCCATGATTTAATTTTGGGGGGCTTAAGCCCAAAATCTTTTTTTTTTTTTTCATAAAAGTAACGATAATTACTTTGGTAAAAAAGAAAGAGACTAACTATCTATATGAAATGGTGTTTAAGTGATTCCTAAAGCCCTTTTAAATGTAATTAAACGAACAATAACACTTTAAGAGATAATTTTTTCCCCATAAAACGTGATTATATTTTACCATTTGGGGGGGCTTCAGTCCCAAAGCCTCCCTCCGTAGATCCGCCCTTGCTGTGGTTTACTGTATACCAATGGAACTGTCGAAGCACGGCGGAAATACAGTAAATTATTTCATACAATGAGCTGTATGAAATAATTTTTGATTATGAATGGCTGAAAGAATGCCAGCGGAATGGTATCCAGATCTTTAATGCCCCATCTTCAAGAAAGATGAATTATTGTATTGTGACATTGTCTTTGATTTGGAGGAGATTAAGGGAACACATGGAGAGGACTAACGGTTTTTTTCCCCTTGGACTTTTAATCTCTGTTTTTATTGGAAATAGAGGGAGGCGCGATCCTCCTCTTCCTCCGAAGTCTATGCATAAGTTATTCAAGAAAAGAAGATAAAAAGAATTTTTAAATAAAAGAATGTTCACAATTAGTGCATTGACTTCTATTTTTGGATTTGCATTATTTTCCCGTAGCTATACACACAGCTTGCTCTGATTTCTGTTATTCATTTCATTAACCGTTGTCCTTTTCTGTTTTTCTTCATTCTGTTCACACCACTGCTGCAGCTCCTCTCCTTCTCAGAGAGAAATGGATTGGCCTCACCTCGTCCTTTTAAAAAGGATATACGGATATAAAAGTCTTGAAATATGGCAACTTGAATGGAAGCGCTCAATGTCAGAACATAGATAGAGACTTGTCTCTCACAGTAGCTTGCCCAACAGTTCGATACAGACTAGTAAAATATGCTTAGTGATCTCCGGTACTTGTATGGAACTTCGAAACTAGTGATTAAATATAATTATATTATAATTTTTAATCCTCCCTCTAATTTATATTTAGTTAGTATAACATTTTTTGGGCACATTAATATACTTGAACAATCAGCCCATCTTATTGCATTTAGAAGATTTTTTACTGTAAATAATCTGCGAGTTTTTACTGCGTAAAATCCAAACTGATGATTAAACATGTTTAATGAAATATTTTGCGAAACATAATTGCCTTCATTGTAACTTTTTGTGACTTCAAAAGCGTTACTATTCCTCTTGAAAAATGAGAAAATTTTTGTGAAGTTACCGTATAATATTGGATGAACGTTCATCGACATTGCATTATAAGGATGCTGGAAGCGTTATACCTTGATGTTAGCGAAGAGGATCTGATATAAGCTAATCCTGAGGAAGGCCCCGGCCTTATGAATCAGAGAGAACCCCCTAACTCAATATGGCGCCTTCAACAGCTGATGACTATGAAATAATGGCCTTGCATTTGCATGTCGAGCGCCAGCTGCTGTGAGGGGCCATTTTTATCCTTCCCTCCCACTCCTTACCTCCCCCCCCCCTCACCCCTTCTTGAGGGCCCACCCTCCGCTCTCTCTCTCTACCACTCCCCCTCATTCTCCTCCAGCTTCTTTATTTTTAGGGAATTGTGTAAAAAACAAAATAACCCCTTTCACTGGTTAGCTTGTAACAGATATGCATGCTCATGCTCTGCATTAAGATGACATCACAGAATTTATTTTTGCAGCTTTTGTTTCTTTATTTCCTTATTTTTTTAACTTATTTCATTGATCATGTAAAACCCAGCCAGAACTCTCATATTATACAGCTATCCTTCTTGATGTATTAGACATATAATTTTCACATGCATCATTTGGAGAATCTTTTTCTTAGTCCTGATGAAGGCCTGAACTTCGGGTCGAAACGTCGGCAAATATCAAATAAATATACTTATTTATTTTTACTATTTTTTATTTTGACTGATCCCCAATCATCCTTCTCTTCAATATTTTATAATTAGAGGCCGCAGTAAGATTAGCTACTGGGGGCCGCAACAATTTTTTATATTTTACTGTCACTATTTTTATTTATCACTAAATACACAGACCCATATATATATATATATATATATATATATATATATATATATATATATATATATATATATATATATATATATCTGTGCACCGGAGGTAACGAGCACCGTGTCCATTTTTTTATTAAATAATTTAGTAACCAAGAAACAAATTTTAATTGCTCAAAGTTATGTAAAATTGGCTCCCCTGAACAAATACCAAAATGGACATGGTGTTTTTTACCTACGGAGTACAGATATATTCATCTTGATTCCATTCATTTTCAATTTTTTGTAACTTAAATAATCAAATATTAATTTATTCTAGCGCTAGATTAATAAAAATAGCGAACAAAATTTTGGGAGAAGCAACTACAACATGGAGTCCAGTTACGGCCTAGAGGCCGCAGGTTCCCCACCTATGCTATATACAATATATTTAACACACATAATTGGTAAAGCTACATACTTTATGACAACTGTTAAAGTAACAATTTATTTAATAAGTGATCATATTGTACCATTGGAAAATATCCCTCCAGTTTAATAGTTAAGCAATAAGATACAGCTATATCTGAACTTATAATAACCCATTATTTGTACAATGTATAATGCATTATTATAGTCAAGACCTATTTGTTTGTTGCAGAAGAGCCTTGTTTTGTAATTTTCTCACTTACTAAGTATTGAATTAATAAAGTCCAAGTTTATTATTCAATTAACAGTAACAACTTTAATGTTAACTTTACTTTGTTTCTTACAATCATAATCTACCAGCCTGCAATATCCTGTCTCCAACACAACTCCTTCAGGAAACGTAAGGACCCGTATCTACCCATTATGGATAGGAAAAATAAATAATACTACAATTACATTGGAAATACCGCAACGAGAATCTAACCTCCATCGTTTTCACCTCTGGCTTTTCAAAGTCCTCCTTTCTAGTCCTCCTCCATCATAGTTATTAAAATTTTGGAATGAATAAAACAAATGGATTGATGTTTATTTATGACTTTATGAATATAAATGCCACATTGCGAAGGGGGTTGGGGAAAGCTTTTATAACGATACAGTCCCAATTTTTTTTTATAAGCATTCTTTCAATGATATTTTGACCACTTCGACGAGTATGCCACCGCTTTAAAATATTGCTTTATTAATATTTTATCTTCAGAGATTATTTTTCTAGACAAATGAAAAAAAAAAAATTTTCATTAGAACAAACTGTCAAAAAAAAATAAAAAGAATGAACCGATAACAAAAGAAAATTCAAGACGATTTGAATTTTTATTTTATTATTTAATTTCAATATTTTAAAGAGGTAAACCTATGACTTATTCCTGTTGAACAAATCCCTAGGAGTCCATCTGGACTAACG